TGCAAGTCTGCTAAGATCTTGGTATTAAGGCTCGAGGTTTAAGAGCAAGGAGTTTGCCACCTTTATTGAACTTACTTGAGTTGGTGTTCTTCTTTATTCCTTTATTCATTTAAAATAGAGGGGCCCTTGCAAAAATGACCCAAGTGCACCCAGAAAAACAAAACAAAACAAAAACAAAGATAGAGAGAGAGAGAGAGAGAGGAACTAGAAGACAAAATGATTTATTTTAAAGTTAGGACATTGCGCTGTGTACACCAGGCCCCTGACTTCTGAACATTTAAAGCTGGTGATATTGCAACCATGCTATACTGGAATGACAGACGTGCTGCACTTCCACCATGGAAAATACTTTTCCTGTCTGTAAAGGAAGAAGTAAGATTTGCCACAAAATTGCACAGCAACCTAAGTGTTTAAGACTTTCTCTAAACCACTCAAAACCAGCTCCTTTCTGCATGATGTTTCCAGTGTGGGCATATTGCAAGAGGATAATTTTAATATACAATTTAAGGTGGTCAGGTAAGTCTCTTTTAATATATTTCATATAGTAAAGGTTTAGAAAGAAAACCTGAGGTCATCTAGGGGTTTTGATTGACATTCCCTTGAAACAGATTTTTCAGACAACTGTGTTAGTGTGTGTTGGTGATACAAGGACGTATCCTCAGCTGGTAAAAATCAGTGTGTAGCTCCACACATGGCAGGGGATCTTTGCCAAGTTACAAAAGATCTCATGCAAATTTTCTCTGATGATTTTAGAATACTTTAGTTCTTTGGTAAAACATCGTTTAACTCAAAGTTTAGAAGAGATGTGAGCAGCAGAAAAAAGTGAGAATAAACCAGATGAAAATATCTCACACTTAAGAACCCTTGGCATGCTACACAGCACTATTTGATTAAGTGAAGTTGTAACACAAAGACAAGGATTAATCACACAAAGGAGCAACATAATTAATTGCAAAAGCTAAGGGAGAATTTCAAGAAAGAATGCATCCTTTCATTTAGCTTACAAAAATACAATTAGTAATTATTACTGATTTCCTGGAGAAAGTCCAGAGCAGAATTAAAAATATCTTGAGTCACAAGGAAGTTCATTGGTCTGCAGGGACAGACATGCTTGGCTCCGTGAAGCTTGTATTTGTTCAGCAAACTCCTTGTTTTTAAAGTGATCCGGGCTGAGTTACACATCAGGACACCCATGACTGGGTCTGTGCCAGCACTGGGGAACTCTTATTTTTAAGTGCCTTTTACCTAGTTTAAATAAAATCAGATTTCTGCCTGAAAATTTTGTAACAGCTGCTGCTACGGGTAATATTTAAAGATCACTGTAATTCAGACAGATCATTATAAGCAATCAGAAGAAAAAAATCAAAAAATCATCCATTTAAAAATAAATTCACTCTAAAGGCATCATGAGCAGATCAATTTTACCTAAATTATTTTAGTTTGTGTGGGGGAAATTGACGCACTTGAGAGGAACAATATCCTTTAAGAGTTTATCCGCCTGGGATCATCTGCTCCTGCCCGTTTGTTCCAGCCTGCAGCCCAACACTTCGATCACAGGCGTCTGATCAAAGCGTGCAGCTGAGGGCCCCGTTAGGGGTCCCATGTGGGGCCCACAGCTCCCACACAGCACTGCTGCCTTCTCAGCCTCTTTTTTAAAACTCCCACAAAAGCACTGAGCTCTGTATTTTCTGCACTCGCTTGCAGCCTTCGCTTGCACAGGGTCTGCTTGGTAGCCCCTAGGTTTGGTGGAAAGTTCCCAGTTTACTTCGGCAGGAGTCAAATGAGACCACAGGGAGCTGTGCTTCCTCAGCCTGACAGCAAAATGCCTGGCCTCACATCTCAGATTTGTGTAAATAGCTTCTGATAAAGAGTTGTAGCGTATGGAAATTAGTGTAGAAAAATCAGCAGAAAAATCTGAGAGTCTGGTCAGGACCTTTTCAAGGGCAAGGCGTATGCCTGCAGTACCGCACTGGTGCCTGTGGGTACAGACTCAGTCTACAGGCAGATAGCCTGGGTAAGCAGTGAAATGTGCCTACTTGCCCTGACTTAAGCCAAGCTGCCTACGCAAGTTAATTTCCAGGCTTCCTTCATATGCTGTCTGCCTTCAAAGGCATCTCCAGGCAATTCTGTTTCCAGTGCAACAGTCCTGTTATGTTATCCTCTTGAGTATGAGCACAAACTGCAGCACAGGAGGTTCCCTCTGAAGGCCAGGAACACTTCACTGTGCAGGTGACCAAACACTGGCACAGGTTGTGTGTGGGGTCTCCTCCTTGGAGATCTTCAGTATCTGCCTGGACGTGGGCCTGGGCACCCTGCTCTGGGTGGCCCAGCTGGAGCAGGGGTGGGACCAGGTGGCCTCAAGATGGCCCTGCCAACCTCAGCCGTTCTGTGGTGCTGTGACTATTTGAAAAGGGATTAATGCCTAAATTCTCACTGAAGCTTGGCCCGTTGGTTCCAAAGAGCCAGACTGTGGCCTGCAGCCTCAGTGCCTTGTGCTGCTGGCTGAGAGCTGCCCGCTGCCTGAGGGCCTTGGTGGGAGCAGGGCCAGCACGGCCAGGTGCACACCAACTCCTCCTGCACTGCCCAGAAAAGGGGGCAGGAACAAATTATTCTGGGAGACATTCCAAAGTGGAAGGAGCTTGAGCAACCCTCAAGTTGTTTTAGCCTAGCTTTGGGATAAACGTGGCAGAGAACAAGCCTCAAAATCTGGCAGCCAAAAATGCCTCTATGTGCATCCATGCATCCTCCACACTTAGCTGAAACCAGCTTAGTGTTACCAAAAACGCTTCTGCTACATTATATTTCACTGTAACCAGGCATTTCATTTTGCTTGCTTTCGATGTTGCTGTTGAATACACACTTTGTACATCTTCTGTGGTGCATGAAAGCACAGATAACCCATTTTATTTAAAGTTGTTAGCATTTTATTTAAAGTTCTTAGCAAATGCCCGTGTGGCACTGATGAAAATACAGACTCTAGCTGTGAACTGCCTCAAATAGAAAACACCAGGGAGACTCCGGTATTTACAGAGAGATGGATGAGTTACATGATCTAATAGGTCTTTTCCATCTCAGTTTTTATCATTATGATTCATGCTAATTGTTAGTGGGAAATTACTTAGTGTCAGTAATAGAGGTGACACATTCATTTCTTTGTAGTCATTGCACATACATTGCATTTGAGGTGAGAGAAAGGGTTTACTTCTCCTCTCCTTTTCCCAGATGCATGTTTGGATTTCATGCATAAATAGTCTTTCTTCCCTTAATCTGATTCACATGACAGTATGCATTTGCATAAAGCTTCTTCTTGGGAAAACCATTCAAACCTTTATCTAGAGACAGTAGACATGTCGCAGAATTATGTCCTGCTTTACAAGACAGCTTTTTTTTTTTCTTTTCTCCTGATGCATTATTTGTATCATATGCTAATTTATTATAATGGTTATTAAGAGCACCAGGCCTTGCCTTTCAGCTTCCCACATTTCCCCAGGCATACCTTAACATCCCTCGCTTTTCAGCTGTGCTCGTCTTCTGTCAGGAAATAAAGAACAATTAATACACACTGCAGATAAAAATGTTCACACCATCCCACTCACTATTTGTTGTGGCTACAACTCCTGTGTGCTCTGTGCTTTCTAGGCATCCTAGCTGGATCTGCCCCAGCAGGATGTGAATGGTAACGTAACATAAAGCTGCTCATTTTCATCATACCACCTGTGGTTGGCCGGAGGGACAGTGCTATAATTTAACCTAAAAATCAAACTCTGCTTCGAAGAAAGCTCAGATTCAGACCTGGAACTTTAAAATCTTCCAGTCTATGCTGCAGAGCTACTTACCTGTTGTCAGGGAGGGAAGTCAGGATAGCAATTGCCCTCACTGTATTTCTGTTGTCTTGGGCTAAAATCTCACTCCTAGTACCTCTACCTCATCCAAGCCCTAAAGACCAGGGCTATAGAACAGCCCTTATCACTTCAAAATCACCCAGTTCTCTAACCAGCAAAGGAGGTTTCAAACCCCTACCTCACCTCCTTCCTGAATTTCTTGTGAAAAAGCTCCTACCGCAGACAGAGTTCACACTCCAGAGCTTTGAGTTGATGTTCTTAAGTCAACAGAGTTACAATGGGATAGGGCTAAGCTGTGACTCTACCCCTGGCCCATTTCTACTTCTTGGACTCAGGGCAATATCCTTCTGAACTCTGACAAAATGTAGTGCATGGGATAACTCATTTTTGTGGCTATGTAACTGAAGAAAGAGAGATCCAGTCTTTACAACCTTAGTTTTGAAAAAGCCTGTGATTTATAATGTAGCAGCAAATCTAGATATATTTTATAGCTTTTAATAAACAGTGAGATCGTGCTGGACATTTTTATGAAACTAAGTTCCTTTAGTCCCAGTCCTGAAGTAGAGGTTTGAATGAAGCCAGTATCAATATTTTTCTCTTGATACAGTATCATGTGTTTCAGAAAGCCAAAATCTGTATAAACTTCACCTAAAATGGTACTTTTCCATGGAGTCATGATGTCTCAAGTTGATACAATATTTATCATCATCGCTGAGTTATAAAGTGTCTTCTTGGGAAAGAGAGACTTAGATAGATTTTATATCAACATTAAGTCAATAGTTAGAGTAAGAATAGATTAGCATCCATTCAATACAGTGCTAGAATGGTGTCAAGGGGGTTTGTGACACCATATACCACAAAAGCACAAGTCAATTAGGCTGTCCTATGGGAAGATTTCGAATTTGCAGCTCAGCTGAAGTGGCTCTCTGAACTAAAACAGTGATAAATATAGCAGTACATCACTGTGTGTATGTTTAGATACCCACATAAAATTATTTCAAGCAGTCAGAAGGATGCAGGTAAGTGCCTTCCAATGAAACAAATGAAGGCAAAATTTTAAACCTAATCATCTACATTTTAAACTCACAGCTATTTTTATATCAATTATTTCACTGAGATAATTGGTAAGAGCAATAGTTTTCTGAATGGGGCCCTAAATTTCCAAAATGTAGCAACAGTCCTCAATTATCAAGCTTGCTTAATGTGCACACAAATTAAAGAAGGTGAAGGTTAAATATTATATTTGAAATAATTCAGTAATCAGGAAATGTATCTTTTAAAAAGAGACAAAAATGATTCAGTGGGAGGCAAGCGTGCTGCTGCTGCTGCTGTTCAGTGCAACCTTTGCATTCCTAATTATTCCGTGTTGAGTAATATATTACAAAAAGGAGAAAGTGTTATGTACGTGCAGTATCAATTCATTTCTTAAGGAAAGGAGAAGTAAAGTAAATCAGAGAATTCATCTATTATGAACCATCGAAGGTCTCTGATTCAGAAGCACTCTGGTGCTCAGCACACTGAAGTACTGATATCTGTCACCTGGGCTGATGGAGATAACCATCCATATGAAAACTTCAGTTTTATTTCTTGGATATGTTCAGTTGTCATTAAAACAACCACAGAAAAAGGCAACACTAAGTTATTGGATAGACCTAGACCCCTATCTTTAACCAAGTTACACTGCTCAGCAGAGAGACTCAAACTCGCCCCTATGTTTTGAAAGAGCAAGTGCTCACAGCACTTATGACACTGCCAGCTGCCTTGCTGCCCATGTGTCTTGCACTTTCTGCTGAAACAGGGGGTTCATTCAAAGCCTACAGAGTACTCTGCCATGTACACGTAGTATAAACAGTGCCATAGAGTCATGAGATTCTTCCTCAAGAGGGACTTCTCTTTCTGTGTCCTCATAATCCTGTTTCCACCTTCCCCAAATCCCATAGAGAAATCAAATGGAGAAATTTACAGAAAAGGGAACAACTCCACATAAGCACACCTCAAATATATTCTTTTGTATCCCCTGCAATGAAACACGTACACAGCTCTGAGATATAAATAGCTCTTCTGTAACGAGCAAGCAGCTTCCCAGGAGAGCACTGGCTGCTCTCAGGCTCAGGTTGGATTACACAGCACCCGCTTGAGTTTCTCTCTTGTTGCTGTCTGAAGAGGATGCACAGGAGAGGGAGACTGCCAATGAAAGAAGGAGCTATTGGAGCTCACCCCTGTTTCTTCCAACAAGTTGGATATGCAAGATGTTTGCACAACACCCATTCAGAGAATGCACGTCTACGTGTGGTTCCTAGCCTGCCAACAATTCTCATTCCCCAGGGAGAAGCTAGGGAATGCCCTGTGGCTGGAGGACAGCCAAAGATAGTGACAGCACCAAGTTATCTCTAAGCTTTTGCTTTACCGTGGTATATTCCTTCTCAGCATCTGTTGGTTACTTACTGGCAAACACTGAAATAATAAATAAATATGGTATTCAAACGTACCATGGTGAGCAGGGCAGAAAGTGTCAGGGTTTTAGGGACTGAGGTGCACAAGGTCAAACACTGGCAAGGGGATGGAGGGAACTGTTCTGCTCCCTGCCCTGGTCTGACTTCAGCCCTGCTATCTCCATGCAAACACCGTCCTGCTTTCTGGTGTGGTGTCTTTTTCCTGTCCAGCACATGAAGTTAACCCGAGACTCGTGGGCAGGATGGTTTGAGCGACTGTGGTTCTCAAGTGTGCCAGGACCAAAGGAACAGTGCTAGCTGTTGTGAGACTTTCCTGCTTCTTGATTTCTAAAGAGATGCTGGGGAAGCATGTCCTGAAATGAGCAATGAGATGGTAAGGTCAGAAAAAAATAAACAATTAAAACCACAACAAATCAAAACAAAACCCAACCAACCACCACCACCAAAAGCATCCCAAACCCCTGTGGATAATTCTATAGAGCCTTAGCTATAGAATAAAGGGAGAACTCCCCACCTGCTAATTGTAACAATTGCTCTTCTCACAAATACAAACCTACCATACCAGGAGAGCACTGCATGTTGAAAATGGTCATTCCACAAGGGTTCCCTGAGGACAGCCTACTTAGGTGTGCCCATCCCCAGAGATCTCCTGTATCCGTAGTTAACTAGAAATCATAAAAACCTGCATCAGTGACCAAACATCATTAGGTTTCTGAGGTGAGGAATGTCTGCTTTTTGCCTGCTAAGATCAGTAACAGCTGAGGAAATCCAACAACACTCTTTATGAGCCCCTTAGAGCTTATAAAATGGCATTAGCTATTATCATAGTTAATATTGCTTGATGTGGAAATATAAACTTGGGAAAACAAGTACTAAAACATTTGTGTAAATGTAACTCCTGACATTTATATTTATTAATGTGCTTTTGAATAGTATTCCATATTAAAAAAGAGATTGATTACTTTGAATGTGGAAAATACCACGTTGTCACTAATATATTTTATTTGATTACAAAAGCAATATAAAAAGGTTTTTAATATAATTCTTATGCACAATTCAGTATGCAAGATTTTTTTTTTTTTCAAATCTAACACACTCTTGACAAGAAACAGATATGTTGAAAGACATCAATAAATGTACTGATTAAGAGTTTGAGACACTTACTTTAAAAATCTGGAGCAAAGGATGACTATTCTAATTACCTGAGACATGTGAAGTCAATTGTCCTTAATACTTTAAGAATGACAGATTACAAATGAATAGATATTAGGGCTTTCTGCTCTGTTGCTTGCTGAAGAAGCTGTTGAAGGACAAGTACTTGGATATGTCACCTTGTGTCTGGGGAGGAGGGGAGCGAAGAAGACTGAAAGGATGATGATGGGAAAAGTGAGATTATCTCAGTGTTGCATTCTTTCCTAAATCCAGAGTGGGAACTGACTCTCCAAGAGAAAACAAAGCTTTGTGTTTTTCAATTAGAAATACTTAAAGGCATATGCAACTAAGCTCCAAGTCTTAGGCTCTCTTCACAGCTCTGGGTACTTCTAAGAAATTGCACAGACCATATTTCCCATATATAAAAAAGATTTATTTATTTTTTCTTTACTGCTGGGATGACACACCCCTCAGACCAAGTTTTTGCTGCTTTCAAGAGAAAAGGCTCACCCGGCTAAATGTGCAATGATGTTAATACCAACCTCCAGCTAAATAAAGACCCGGTCTTTGTTCTAAGCACCCCCGCGAGCTGCTCTGCCTTCAGACAGGAGAGGCACACCTGGGACCCAGCCCTGCTCCTTGGCAGGTCAGGAATAGAAGAGCTGAATTTTAGATGGAAACAAACTGTGAGCATGAATTCTGTAGGTGCGATACTCGGGCTTTTATCCCAGAACCACAGCGTGAGGCCGGAGTTAGCACAGTCACCTAGTTTACATCTCCTGCATGAAATAAAACACAATTTGCTGCTTCCAGCAGGCAAGCCCATTAGGGAGCCTTTGCTGTTGCGTTTGCAAACAGCCCCATGAGGTAAAGCTCAGAAGAAGTCCCACAGCCAGCACAGGAGGTGCCACGGTCCATGAGGTTACCACGCAGAGCAGCAGCCCGGCCACCCCTCCTCAGAGAGGGACAGAGATGTCCAACTTCGTCCTCCCCATGACTGACACTCATGTGCTAATGCCTGCCTGCCACTCTTCATACAAACCTCCCTGAGAGTGGTGACCTCGCCACGGAGGTATTTATGACATGTTCATTACCCAGCACCTGAACACCTGGAAGAGAAAGGCTCTGTGCTCCACTACCAGCCCTCCGAGTTGAGCTGTTCTGCTAATTGCATTTTATTCTCATTTATTATAAATAACGTGGCTATTTCTCTGTCCCCTCTTTCTCTTTCCACATGAGGTGCAATGTAGAAAAATGATTTGCTCTAAGTCTAAGTCACCAAGCAAGAAAATGAGACTGTATTTCTGTTCTAATCCACAATAAGGAAAATAGCTTTAATAAAAAATGCTTTATACTTAAAATAATGTTTATTTATGGAAATCAATATCGGCATCTATTGTGCCCAGCCAATTAACATTCCATTGGCACAGAACAGTCACGGGCAGTGACTGAACACAAAATGCAGCCCTTGAGAAGATTTTAGCAAACACATAAAAATATACCCAAGTTTATCACAACTGGTAAGGGACACAACAAAACCAGCAAATCACTGATAACCATTATAAACTCAGCAGCAGATCTTTTAATATCTTGGTCCCCTAAACATAAGGGATATTTACCCTGCCTGAGCTTTAGTAACACAACCTCCCTTGTAGAAACAAAATGCCAGTTAAATAGAGGCCTTGTTCTTCTGTGGCTTCCCCAGAATTTAGCCCAAGATGAACTCGAGCTAGTGTATCTGTGTTGCCATTGGGTTCAAATATCCCCACCGCACACGGGACTCATCATCAAAGTTTTTGTGGCTTTTTTTTTTTTTTTGGAAGGCCATTCTCTTCAGAGTGGACAAATTAAAAAAGTAGCAGACAAACGACACACATTTGAAAGTCCAGAGTGTGTACTCCTTACTTCTCCCCCTGTGATAGACTTAGAAAAAAATGTGTGTAGTAGCAGAGCCCAAAATTCATCTTACAAATTATATAAGGGTATTTGCTTATCAAGCCGTATGAGAGAGTCACAGGACCTGACCGTCCTGCTTGTGGAGAAATAGAGTTTCCCAAAAATTCACTGCCCTGCCAGTAGGGAACCACAGTCTTGGCTATAGTTGCGATGTCCTAAAAATTTATCTGCTCTGGAGAGAGGAAATGCTTTTAAGAAGCACTCAAGAAAGCAGGACCAAAGTTACGGGGTGATGTTCTCCTCCAAGTGCTTGAGGTAAGAGGGAAATGTGAAATTTGAAGGTGACAGAACAGTAGCCATCTGCCAGGGCCAGAAAATAAATTGAAAGCTGACTTATAAACCACTTATTTGTAACATAAAATGAGTGAAGATGTAGAAATTGAACTGCAGAATTGTCTCCTCATCCTCCCACTTTAGCCCCTCCTTGAGAACAATCAGAAATTCTCGGTAATTTGGCACAACGGCCCCTTCTCCTGCTAGTCTCCTGGGTGCACCTCATTTCTTCCAGTTATTCTTAAAGAGCTTCGTTAGGCAACCAATTATATGATTCATACACATCCAGGAGAGAAAATATTTTAGTGAAATCTTACAGTTCCTGACTCTACATTCTTATAGTCAAAACCACAGGGACACAGGACAAATTTATCTATATAACCACACAAATCTTTCCATTTTCCCCAAGGTACAGCAACTAGGTTTAATTATAATTAAACCTTTACTTAAATGAAAAAATTCCCATATTACTTCTGTCCAGGTGAGACGAGGGGTAAAAAAGAGTTGTGATACAACTAAAAGATTTTAACAGATTGAGCACACTGAAACAAGGTCATTTCCTCCAACAGCAACAACAAAAATGTATCAGAAAGTAGATTTTAGGAAAGAAAAATCCCAGCTTGAAGCAACCTGAAGATGTTTCAAAGCACCTTTGCTCCCAAGAGGGCAAAAGAAAGAAGCAAATCCAGCTAACCCCAACCATAGACGTTTTCTTGTCTGATAAATCCAGAGCCAGGTGGCTAGAATAAAAGATTTGTGTTTATCTGTTGGGAGATCAGCACTGATTCATTCTCATTACACTGCAGCGAGCTCACCTGTGAGGCTTTATGGATGCCTTGGGGGAAAGAGCTCAGCAGGGGTTAACTTCTTGTTGAGGGGGAAGAAAGGAGAGGTGAGATTTGGGTTTTAATTGGTGCAAGGGGAAATCCCCTCTCTTTTATATACGTGGTACAGAGAAAAACACAGGTACTAAGAGCAATAATAAAAAGTGTTAGGACAGGGTTTTGCTGAGCACAATTCTCTAAGCATTTCCAGGTCAGCTTGGAGGTGGGGGAAGGGAGTTATCATCCTAACAGCTTCCCCTGAGGTTCGGTGGGGAGCTCAGTCGTGAGATTTGTGGGAAGCTTTAGCAAGTGTGAAAGCAGTGAGTTTATTGCTTGAATTAACTCTGAGCTGAGGAATAAAGTACGCTTAATGCACTTTTAAAGCACCATGCTTTACCTCCCCGTTTGTTTCTATAAAAGGATGCTTCCTAAGCAGATCTGTGCAGTATATTTGTCCCTCTGGGTTTTACCTTGATTTGCTTGGTTGATCCAGACCTAAGAGACTTGAATATCTGCTCCCAGAAGTCATTCTTTCACCGTGAACCACTGATTACTCTCTCGCTTTCCATTTAAAAGACTCCGACTTGCAAGACTGCAGATTTCATGTGCTGGAAACCTAAAATGCCAATGCTTCTCTCTGCTGCTCTAACTGCACACATAAAAGAAATCAGTTAAAACCAGCCAGAACAGTTGCTTTAGCCCGTTTCGCAGGTGATGCGAAATAAAACGCCAGGCTGTTTAAAAGCAAGAACAAAAAGAAAAAAAAAAAGAAAAAGAAAAGCAAAGAAAAAGAACAACATCCAACTTTTGCATATGGCTGCAAGGCAGTCTATTTTGAACAAAACCCTCTTAAGTTATTCCAAAAGGACTTGCTTGTGTAGGCAAAGCCTTCCCATAGCAGCGAGCGTATTTCTTTGTGTTGCCCTCCGCCTGCTCAGCCGCTGCCTGCCAAAGGCCACAAAGAGCCAGCCCTTGCCCATTTTATGGCAGACAGCGAGACTTTTCCAGGGCCACCCCACCAGTTTCTTCACTCCACGATAAAATGCACAAAAAAATTATATTACTCCCCCCTGCCAATTTGAACAGGAAGCACTTACTGCTGGCAAATAATAATGTTTTGTATTTGTGAATTTTTGTTCTTTCTTTTTTTTTATTTATTTTATTTTATTTCCTGCATCTAGCTCCTTGTTAGGGTAGGCAGCTGCCTACTTTGCGTAACCTTAAAGCTGTCCCTGGCAAATGCTGTGTTGTATTCCCACTGAGCCTGTGAAGTTTACAGAATAACAGGGCTGCTTTAATGTGGCAAATGGAAAGGCCGGAGATAGGCCAAAATTACTTTGACATTTAAAAAATCCAGCATCTTTTGCTTTACACCTTCACTTAGTGCTGGAGTTAAGAAACATTTAAAAAATAAAGCTTTACAGATTCCTGTTAAATCTAACTATTTCATACTGTGTAATTAATTGTGCCCTTGCTC